GTGTCCCCGGCCTCGCCGACTACTACCAGCAAAGCAGACTTCAACTCTCGCGGTTCTGGATTGGGGACTTCCAGATCAGCGGCTTGAACCTGTACGGTTGGCCAACTTCCCCCACCTGGCCAGGAGCCAGAACATTGACGGAGAACATGCTCCAGTCCGTCTCCCAGGAGTTCATCATCGGCATGCAAGGTCTCCGCTATGTCGCAGGAGACTTCAACCACCCTGAATCCCTGCCATCCATCCAGGGATGGCTTCGGGCGGGATGGGTCGAGATTCAGTCCCTTCATCACCAACGTTCGGGCTACGTCCCCCAGGACACATATCGTGGCATGTCGCGCCCTGATCGGCTCTACATCTCGCCCGAACTTGCAGCATTCTTCACCGCAGCTCACTACGAAGCATGGTTTGCGGATCATGGAGCCCTTCATGGTGTTTTCCAGATACCGGACAATCACCCCAGCTACTGGGCATGGCCACTACCAGCACAGCTACCATGGGAGGAAGCCGACATGCAGACCTGGCATGCATCCTTCCAACCCAGCCTCAACGACACCCAACCAACCCTGGACCCCACTTCACACTACAAGCACTTGGGCTACCTCTATGAGACTAGCCTTGATCACCACCTGTCCGAGCACTCGCACATACGCCTGCCACCTGCCTGCCTTGGTCGAGGCCAACGCCTCCAACCAGTACGGAGACAGCCACAAGCTCCGATCCTTCGATCCAGTCGCCCAGGAGAAGAGCATTTGGCTTCCGATGTCATTAGCCGGGCTGTACTCAGATGGTTTCGACAACTACGACGTCTTCAGAGCATGCACCATGCCCTCAAAGCTGGAGGCCAAGGCCCTACGCACCAACTCTACCGGACCGAGCTCTGGCATGCGATGCTACACGCACCAGGCTTTCAGCCCACTTTCTGCGAATGGTGGCCCACTAGGAAGCACCAGTTCCAAGGCAGCCCACCTCACTTGCCACTCTATGCTCCATCCCTCGACCTCATGCACAACATCTACAACGACTTCCGCTACAATTTCCGGAGCTTTGAAAGCTGGAATTTGCGCCAGAAGTCGAAATGCAACCAAGCTCGACTACAGCAACATCACCACCGCATCTTCAAGGCTATCAAACCAGCCATGCGGGAGCCCATCGATCGCCTGGTCGAGAAACACACCGTCGCCATCCTCGCGGTCTCAGCGGATGGCACGCAGATCCACACTGATGCCTCGTTGGAAAGCAGGCCATATGCCACCTGGTGGGTGGATGGGACGCCCGCCACCGTCAAACAGCTCTCCCAGGACACCTTCGAGGTTGAGTCGGATCTCCTGCTTGTCAAGGGACAACAGCTACACCAGCACCATCACCTGTCCTCCGAATCTCAGATCCACTCCACGCTGGAACAGTTTTGGCAGAAGCGATGGTCCAAGCATGCTGACCTACCTCAAGAAGCCTGGAAGCGCATCTTTGGCTTCGTCAAAGCCTACGTTCCCAAGGGCGACCTACCACGCCTTCAACTTCCCCAATGGGATAACACCCTCAACAAGTTCAAAGCTCACGCCGCCCGAGGGCCAGATGGCTACGGACGCCTCGACCTCATCAACATGCCACCTCAACTCAAGCAAGCGCACCTCGATCTACTTCACCGCATTGAACGTGGTGAACAATGGCCTCAGCAGCTTCTGAATGGCCACGCCCACGGCCTTGCCAAGTGCGTTGATGCCGAGGAGGTCTCACAGTACCGACCCATCATCATCCTGAGCATGATCTACCGCACCTGGTCCTCCATTCGCGCCAGACAGGGACTTCAACAGCTCGAGCAGCTTATGGACTGCCCGGCGTTTGGCTTCTTGCCCACTAGAGAAGCTCAGGAGATCTGGCTCCCCTTGCAGGGCCTCATTGAACTACGAGCACAACAATCGCAGCCATTGGTTGGCTGCGTTGCTGACGTTGAGAAAGCCTTCAACCACCTGCCGCGGGGCCCGATCAAGCAGATTGCCAAACATGTTGGATTCGATGCGGATTTTGTCGAGGCATGGCATCGCTTCCTGCTCGGCTTTTCGCGACGTTTCAAGATCCGGGACACGGTGGGCTCTCCTCTTTTCTCCAACTGCGGATACCCAGAAGGCTGCCCATTGAGCTGTCTGGCCATGGCCCTCACCGACTGGTGCTATCATTTGTACCAAGCGCACTTTGCCCCGCGGGCCACATCCATCTCCTTTGTGGACAATCTGGAGATCTTGGCTCATACCCCGGGAGCCCTTCTACAAGCCATGGTTGCTCAGGAGACCTTCCTGGACATGTTTCAGCTCAGCATCGACCTTGACAAGACCTACCTTTGGGCAGTCCATCCGCGTGATCGCCAACAACTCGGCCTCCTCAAGCACCGCATCAGCCTGAAGGACAAAGATCTCGGCGGACACATGACGTATGGCCCGCGCAGGCGAGTTGCTCATCATTCCACCTTGGTACAAAACCTGCAACCAACATGGTCCTTGCTCCGACGGCTTCGTGCTCCCGGCTTATGCAAAACCCATGTATTGGTTCAATCCATGTGGCCCAAGATATTCCACAGCGCCCCCATCGAGGACTTCTCCCTCCAGCTTATCAAGCAACTACGCACTGCTGCGGTTCGCGCACTTGGGCATGGCAACGCAGGCGCCAGCCCTGCCATTCGACTCAGCCTTTTGCAAGGCAACACCCTCGCCGATCCAGGCTTTTACCAGCTCTGGCATGTTGTGAGGACCTTCCGCAGGATGCTTCTGAAGCAGGCCGCACTTCTGGACATGTGGCATCAGTTCCAGGCCTCTTTTGATGGCCACTTCTACGCCGGCCCCTTCTCGGTGTTGATTCGCCAACTCAACGCCGTATCCTGGAAGATCGAAGCTCCACCTTACCTCACCGATCACGATGGCCTTCAACACAACATCCTCACCATCGACCACCACTACCTTCGAAGCATCCTTGAGGACGCATGGCGCCAACGTGTGGCCTTGGACGCCTCCACCAGAACCGACCTCCAAGGACTACAAGGAGTCAACTGGCCTGCATGTCGGCACCTTGGCGCCCACCACACAGCATTGCAGTCTGCCCAGATCTGCGCACTTCGCGAGGGTGCCTTCTACCTCAACACCCACAAGGCCAAGTATGATTGCTTCATCTCTGCCACTTGTGCCAGATGCCTGCAGCCAGACACTGTAGACCACAGATGCCTACATTGCCCGGGCTTCTCCATAAGTCGAGCAGCACATCCCGAAGCACTTGCACTATGGGAAGGAACTCCGATCTCACTTCGCGAACGACTACTTCCACCTCGCAATCCTCACCATGGTCAGCTACGTCGCTACCTGCACTCCCTCCACGAGAGGCCTGTTTCCTTCGAGATCCTTGGTGACCGAGCGCAGGACACCCATGTCTTCTCGGATGGCACTTGCACATCTCCAACGTACAGCCCACTGTCCCTAGCAGCTTGGTCAGTCATATCGGCATCCCGGCAGTCACGAATTGCATCTGGACCGCTACCTGGCGAAGTACAGTCCAGCAACCGAGCGGAGCTCTACGCAGCCCTCATCACTGCGCAGTGGACCAAACGATGCAGGTGCCGAACACATCTATGGACGGATTCTGCATACACCGCAGCCGGGATTTGGCAGCTTCAACAAGCCCCGGATGACATCCCAAGCCGAACCAACGCGGACCTTTGGCAGCAGCTCTCTGCCACCCTGGCCACACTTGGTGAAGGCCAGCTTCTGGTGCATCATACAGCTGGCCACAGCATCCCCGCCGAGATGGACGACCCTGTTGATGCTTGGCTGGCGCACTGGAACAACGTTGCTGACTATGCAGCCAAGGAGGCAAATCGCCGGCACTCTGAAGAGTTCCACACCCTCTGGTCGGCGTACAGCCAAACTGAGCGAGATCAGCTGCATCGCCTAGCATGCCTTCAAGAGCTCCACCTTGCAGTCGCAGCTACCAACGCTGAGAACCAGCCCACAGCTGCCGATGGCTTTGAGGAATACGACCTACCTGCCGATGCTGATCCTGAACCCGATTCAGGAGAGGCTCTCGTGAGTTGGCCTGAAGTTTTGAGCCCGGACTGGGCCCAATCACTACCCGGTTCGCGCATCGAATTCAAGTTTGATTCGGGCTTCCCCAGGCAAGCCATCACTTGGCTGCTACAGGAAGCTGAACAGGCGACCCTTGCCTCGCACATCTCATGGCTTGAGGTTGCCGTGATGATGAGACTTGCGTCTCTTAGCATGCCGGTTCCCACCTCGCACACCAGCGGCGAGATCTGGAGGAACCCCAGCCCCCTCTTGGGCGTCCAAACGACCCTTGCCTCGGACATTCGCATGACTCGTTCCTTTTTCCGGTTGGTTGCTGTTCATTTTGGTTTGGACATCCAGGAAGTTCGGGGTATTAACCTGGCCTCTCTTGGGGTTGCTCCCCCGCAAAGCGGTTTAACCCTTAAGCTTTCCACCCTGGTTAAACACCAGGCGCGCCAGGCCCTTCGAACGTTCTGTACAGGCAGGCCCATCAGATCGGCCAACGATCTGTCACGGCCTTTCAGGCAATGACCCTGATCGCGCTCGAAGAACTCGCCCGCTGCACTGCTCGCGCTGTGCACGGGCACCAGACACGTGTGAATGAGGTCCATTGTTTGTTCAAGACGTCTAGTTCTGGGCATTTGCCCGGAGTCTGGGGCTTTCTTCCAAGGAGGGCGCGGCGGTCTCAGCTCATCGCCACAAGGGGCCCATCAGTCGCTGCTCAAGGCCATGAAGCCCTGCGAACCTTCGGCCCGGGTTTTTCAAGCCACGTCAGTCATGGGCGTCATGCTGGTTTGATGAGACCTACTTGAGGGTTGGGCGACCTAAGGGCATCTTGGCTTCCTATGCAGCAAGAATCTTAAGCTGGGTTGTTCGAAAGCAATCCTCAAGGCCGGATGGTGTCCTAGTGGCGTGTTTTTCGGGATTGCAGATTGGTGATCCCACGTTGAACTGGCCATGGACGAGGGAGCGTCTGCACTGGCGGCGCTCCGCTGGATTTGGGCGGCCTCAGATGTGGAGAAGATGCCCGGGGGAGCCTCGAGTGGTTTAGACAGCCAGACGAAAACCAAACGGAGTCTGTTTGAACACTGAGCGTTCAGACATGTCTCTGTAGAGGCTTTGCCCAACTTAGGTTGAAAGGCTTTTGATACTACCGGAGTCTGTGTGAAGAGAAGGGTATTTGTATCTTTAAAAACTGGGCAGCCCCTTCGAAGTTGTGTGCGCGGGAGCAGCATTGGGACCAGCAAACGACGCCAGCTCACTGTATGAGAGCTGCGTTCGGTGAAGGAGCGCTGCCAACAGATCCGGCAGACAAAGAGGACAAAGGGGCAGTGCCCCAAACACAACGAACCTCTGCATGGTTACTCCATGTTGGTCCTGTTTCAACCAGCCAAAGAGTCAAGGTTTTTTTCGACACTGCCGCCCATAAATGGCCCAGCCTTATACGACAGTTCGCAATGACACCTGCGTACATTCACGAATAAACCCCGGGGCCCGCTTTCACAGGCTGCATCAGTTGCTGGCTCTGCCTTCTGGGCTGATCTTAGATCCTAGCACACAGAAGTGAACCAAGCGCGAATGTCTGCAGTTCGACTCAACTGCAACACCTTTTTCGGCATGCCCGAAGGACTCACATTCTCGAGCCTGGATCAATGAAAGTTAGAAATCCAGGATGATTTCATGGTCACGAAAATGTGAAAGGTGACTTGCTTTTTGCTTTGTTGCCAGTAATGGGCGCGGTGGGAAGCACGTGCCCAGGCTTGCAGAAGGCATTGGGTGGACAGTGGAACGCACGGTACTTGGTGCTGCTTGGATCGCGCTTGAAGTCCTAAAAGGACCTTTGCTTTCAGATACATACTAGGTCCCCAGTAGTGCCCTTCTCTCCCCTTTCTTGGTTGGAAGGGTTCCCCTACTAAAATGGACAAAGCTGAAAACAATATGGTGCCAACTTATTCTAGCCTCAAACTACTGGAGGACCTAGCATAGGTTTGGGGGTCCGAAGCCCAAGTTTTAGGAGTTGCTCTTGATGGTTCTCGCTTGGCCTTACGGGTGCAAACTACCCATTACCCGACTTGGATTCGGCAAGTGTTTCCTCCGAAAGTTGGTTGTGGGTCAAAATTAAGCCATCAGGGGACCGCAGGTTTTAGTCTTTGGTTCCATTTACCAGGGCGACCCATTTTAGGGTTACCCTATTTTTACAACCACAGCCAGTTGAAGGTTTCCCTCTAAAATGGGGCGCGCCCAGAATAAACCCACCAGTCTACTCAGATCCTGCGTCCACATTTGACAATCAAAACCCAGGTAAGCGAAGCTTAGGGACACTCCCAACCAATGGGTGCGGATTTCCGCCTTCTTAATGAATAGAAGCATGGTTCTGGGTGAGCCATTTTTGAACACTCATGTCCAGGAACCCTTTTTTACATGGTTTTGGGTTTTAATTATGACTCTAGTGCTACCTTCCCCATTCGTTGCCGGGATCCGAATCTTTCTGGAAAACCCGGAAACCCAGGGGAAACGGATCCGGTTTTTGAAAAGAACCATGGTTGAAAAGAGTTTTGAACAGGACTCACGGAATCAACCCTTAGGACGACTCATGTCCACTTCCGGTTATTTCGGCCGGCAAAAAAACATCGGCCCAGCCCCGCACAAATTTTTTGGGGCCGGCCCCGAAGCCGCGCGCGCGGGCGCAAGGCTGGGCTCCCACACGAGCTGCCTGCACTGGTTCCGGGACGCGGGGCCGGAGGCCATCCTGGGACCGGAACGGGGACACGTCCAGCTGAAGGAGGTGTACAAAGTGGCTCCACCGCAGGAGGTGTACAAGAAGCAGATCGGCTCATGAAAGTGGGTGAACTTAGGTTCCTCAACGGGTTTGCTCACGAGAAAAGATCCGTTTGCTCTTTTGTAGTGGTCCTAACATGGTTTGTCTTTTGGGCCAGGGGGGGAGAACTGAGGAGGGATATCAGCTACAACAAATACTGAGGCCGTACTGGCTGCGCTTATCCTAGGCTTTAGAGGACTGCCCGGTGAATAGAGACCTAAAAGAGGGTCCCCCTTACTTTGAATCAAAGAAAACATCCAAAAGGCAAAATCTGCCCTCCGACCCACCAACATGATGTAGTCTTCCAAAACAATTGTGCCCTTGCCATGTTTGTTGGACGGGTACCCTTTTCGGGGGGGCTCCCTGAAGGCAGCAGCGAATGTTGTTCGGACCCCCAATAGAGTCCCAATGTTTCATCAATGTTTTGGCTAGCTTCAAACTGAGTTTACCTCTCACAAAGCATCACAAAGCGATGCTTCCTGCAGCAGTAGGGGCAACCCTATTGACACGGCTTTCCGTGTTGTTCGGCGTGCCCCCCCCCCCCTTCCCCCCCCAGTGGCGTGGGTGGCTCGGGTTTTCTGGGCTCGGTGGCCCTAGTCTGGCGGTGGCCTAGGTGGAAACCGCCCGGGACGACGACGACGCGAAGCGTCGGCTGCTGCTTTACAACGCCTCGGGGGAGCCCATGCTGACCTTCCGGACTGAGGCCAAGGCGGCCGATGCCTGGGAGAAGGCCGGGAGGGACGGCGCGGATGGTCCCACGGCGGCACGGCGGCTTCGTTGAAGCCAAAAGGAGGTTGTTGAAACCACGTTGCTTGGATCTCAAATAGCTCCCTGGCTCTCAGGGAAAGGAATCTATAGGCTATAGGGAGATGGCGGGGGCTTCCCTAATTCCCCACTGAGACCAGCAAGGGACCCGTTTTCGTTCGTTTTGAGGGGGCCCTTTGTAAGGTTGAGTCAAAGGGAAAGCAACATGAACACCACCATTATCGGTGGTTCCCTAAACAACACACAGCAGAAGAACAATCACCAATAGATTGCCTGAACTGTACAGTCATCACGACTCAATGTGGCTTCAAAGTACCCCTAGACCTCCATATTGCCCAAACAGAAAATGAGCCCCGCAACATGCTTGGTCTCCTTCTGTTGTCCTTTTGAGCCACCCCCCTTTGTGGGGTACCTGAAAACTTGGTGGCTCCCATTGCCTTTTTAGCTTTTTAGTGTTTAGTGGGGTTTTCCATTTGGCCCACTACAGTAGTTAAACTTCTAGCGGGGGATCTAAAAACAGACAGCTTAGAAAAAAATGCGAAACTCCAAATGCTTGGTCTCCTTTTGTTGTCCTTTTGAGCCACCCCCCTTTGTGGGGTACCGGGGTACCTGAAAAAAAAATGAACCCCGCCCACCCCCCCCCTCCCCGGCCCCCCCGCTTCGTGGTGGGGTACCTGAAAAAAATCAAACCGGTCGTCGGCCATTCCTTTGGAGGCCATCCTGAAGGCCAAGGCGCGCCACACCGAGACGTGGCCCAGCTGCATCGCGGCGGCGTACCATCGGACGGTGCAGCCACCAGAGCTGCTGGAGGTGGACGAGTGCATCGAGCTCCTTGGCTCCGGATCGACGCTATCGATTTGGGGTCAACACCAATGGGATCCCATTTTTGGGTAGGTGCACCACCCATTTTAGTCCATACCAGGTGGGGATTGGGATGTTCACTGAGGAATACGGGATTTTGACCCATGGCCATGTTTGGCGCCGGGGTGTTTGGGTCCTCCCAAAAACAACACCTGGAGGCTGTGTCTGAAAAAACAGGGGACCGAACCTGAAACCCCAAAAAATGGGTAGCCTCAACAAAAAGATGGACTAAGAGGGTCCATGACACTTAGCGTTGAGGTTACCACCTCTTGCTTCGTGAGACAGGAGTCCCATGTACGCCCGTGTTCGATACCAGCTGTTCTGTTGCGCCTGGAAGCCTTGTGCAGGTATGATGACGCCAAGCTGCCTGTCATGGGCTTGGTCACTGAAACCCAGGAGATTGTGTCTCTTGGATGGTGCACCTGTTTTCCCTATTTGCAAGGGAACCCAAACTAGAATCGAACTAGCATCTCTTGAAATTATGTGGTTCACATGTTAACTTCCATTTGCTTAAGAGCATTGTTTCCAGTGGCCTTAAGCAAATGGGAGTTAAGGACCAGAATCAACCACCCACCTTGTTGCCTTTTTGCTCCCTTTTGACACGGCGTCCAGGAGTCCGTGGCTGGCCTGCAGTGCTTTCCACAGACGCGACCCCGGGTACGGCTGCTGCTGCTGTGCCGCAACAAGCTGATGCGATTCGAGCCCAGGGACCAAGCCTTGCTGGGCGAGCGCAAGGGGGAGATCCACCTGAATGCTGTGACACTCGGCCCGAAACCGAACCGGCCGGCCGGGAGCCGGGGGAAAGGGGAAACGCGCCATTTGGTGCCCCTCTTTTGAGCGGGCTGTCCTTTGAGATGTTTTTTTAGGGTGCCCAGTGGCAGCCTTGTTTCCCATTTTTGTTGTGAGGGGTTCCACTCAAGCAACCCAAAAAGGATGCCCTTTTTTTCCCCATGGCCACTGGGAATCTCAGAATAGAACGGTGGCCCCTTTTTTCTATTTCCGCTGGAGGTCTGAGCTTGCATCTCTCAGCCCGCGACTTTGGTTTGCTTGTGGGTCCAACCTTGTCATGGACGCGGGAAGGTGGAATACGTCTTTCCGCCTGCACTCAGGCTCCATGGTGGTGGGTCTCCATGTCAGAAACTGGTCCCTGGTGACTTTGGCGATGTAGAGAAGGTTCGTAGCTGGGCTGTTGGGTTAGGGAAAACTGTGGCCCCTTTTGCAGCATGGAAAACTGGATTGGGCCAAGCCTAGCCTAGCCCAGGTTGCAGCCTTTTGCCTCAAATTCACTCAAAAGGAGCCCCTCTCTTGCAAATGAGCGTCGTTGGGTTCTGCGCATCCGCTTGCAGAGTGGCATGTATCGCAGGCTCTCAAAGTTCAAGCCGACCAAACAATGCATGGTGTGCATTTGTTCCTCGGAGAACCAGTGGACCAGCTTGTTGGTTAGTTGTGGAAGCCAAAAGGAAACCGGATTTTGATTGGTCCAGGTTGATGTCCCCGGATTTTGATTGGACTAGTCAGGACCACGGTGACCTCGCAGGGCTCCTATGTCATCCTGGAGCAGCCAAGGGCACGGCTCACGTTTAAGACGCCGCAGCCCAAAGAGTGGGCGGAGGTCTTGAAGGACACCGATTTGGTAACGGATCTGGGCTTGCGTAAGTGTCCCTGCAATTAGTGGGGAATCAGGCCACTTTTGGAGGGGCCCCACCCTATGATGTTTCTATGGGGTCCATATATTTTCCTCACCCCATGAATAAACTGGGGTTGATGTTTCTGCGGGGGTCAACATGAGAACTTCCCATCTCGCAGGATGCCGACGCTTTCCTTTGCCCCACCCCTACGAATGGATCTGCCAGATCCACCGCCGGCGGGCGCTTGGGGGAGGTGGCTCAGCGGCTGCGGCAACAATCCGGGCGACTGCTCTGGGTGAATGCGCTGGTCGTGTTGAGCGTCCTCCTGCAGGGCACCCCATTTTTCTACCCGCAGCTCGACAAGATTCGACAAGTATCCAAGCCGGCGGGAAACAAATGTGCTAGGCCCCCCAGTCGTGCCCTTTTACCCCCTTTTTTGAGGGAGGGTTTCCCTACTAAAATAGACTACAGAGAAAACCAAAAAAAGAGCTAGTGTGGATGTGTCGTATATTTTTTGAGAGAGCCCCAACATGGGTTGTTCGGCTTTGGTTTCCCGTTGCTCCTCAGGATGCACCCATGTGGTTTTGGCTCATCGATGTAGTTTTCTTCGGTTTCAGGCGATACCAACGGACCCCAAACAGTGACAAAGTAGTTGACTCATTTTGGTATCACAGTATATTTGGGCGTGTCTTTTAGGGGACCCCCCGCCCCAACAAAAAAAGAAACAACATGTTGTGTTCCTTAGGGTTTCCGTTTCACACCACAAGAAAGGGATACCCTCAAAAAAACAGACCCGCCCATGCCCCACCATGGTTTGACGTCTTATGTGGGTGGGCTCAGCTTAGCCGAGGTGTTTGCTGATTGCCAACCTCCTCGTGCTCGCATGGGGCTGGAGCTGGAAGGATGGGCTTGTCGCGGGAGCTGTTTGCCGGTTTGAAAGCCACGGAAAGCAGCCAGATGCGGGGGTTCTCATGGCGGTATCTTATAATTGGTTGGTTTCCTGTTTTCCTTTGAATGCACCAGGGGGGTCCACCATTTTGAGAACCCCCCCTCCCCGGGCACATGTTGCCGGCTTTCATCTGTGGGTGATGTTGGAGGGACTCGTTGGGAGCCCTGTCCAGGTCGGAAGCTCCTCTCTGGTAGAGAGCTGCTTTCAGGTATTGGAATTGTTGAAGGGTGCAGAATGAGTGGTGGCGCAAGAAAGCACACTGCATCCATTGCTTGCGTTTCACTAGCAAAAGCACTTCCCATTTCTTCCAATTGGCTCCCCACAAAGCATGTCCGCCCCAAAACTTTGCCAAGCATTCGCTTTTGTCCCATTTGCCATCGGGGCAGTTCTATTAGGTTTGGCCCCAAGGTGTCACTTTCATTTGGCACGCTAAAAGCGGACCGCACCCCACTCGTCACTCGCCCGTCTCGTGGGGGAGCTTGCGAAGCAGGGATGTATCGTCCCCGAAGGATAAAACGCTCAGTCAACATGTCAATGTGTTTTCAAAGCCAATGGGGCCTCAATCGAAAAATCAGACCGGATTGCAATTGTCCGTGCCTGTCAAGGACTGTCATATGAGGTGCTAACAAACCATATCAGATTCTTTTAAAGTATCCCAGAACCCCTCATTGGCCTTTCTTGCTTTGCAGGTTTGTCTCAGGGGACCGCGCAACGTGTGTGTTCCCCTTTGTCTAACAAACCAACAAGGGAAAATATTCACAAAGCCTGGTTTCGGTGCGTAGTTGATGGTAGAACCAAAAGTGGGTGACCCTGTGGTTTCCCCGAAACTCATTTTTTTCGTGGGTAAGAAACAGAGAGACCCCACCAAATTCCTGAAATGGGCTGGTTTGGGTTCCCCTGAATATCAGTGGGCACCTTTTTCGTTGCCTTGCTGAGTCAAGACTCTTGGACGCAAGGGCAGAGAGAGAGAAGCCAAATTCCTGCAGGTTTCCCATGCACAAATTTGGCGGTTGCCCTTGTACGGTTTCCCTGAAACTCATTTTTTCTGTGTGTCGAAAACAGAGAGACCCCACCAAATTCCCGCTGCCCTGCTGGTTTCGCATGCCCCAACGTGAGCCACAATCAAAACCCGGGTAGATGAAGGTTAGTAAGGGGCAGTCCCAGCCAGAAATAGTTGCGGATATCCGCCTTCTTAATTCTTCACATGGTTCTGGGTGGACCATTTGGCTGCGGGTCAAAAATAGGTACCCAAAGAGGAACCCTGGCAAGTGGAACCATGGACTAAAACCTGCCGTTTTCCATGTTGTTTTGATTTTGACCCGTACCCATTTTACTACCCGGGTTTTGAGCAAGTGACTCGTGTGGGTGTCCGAGGCAGAGGCACCCCCTCCGCTGGTGGCCAGCGCCCAAGACTTGGCGAAGGCGTTGCGGCCCATGACGCTGGGCTCCTCGGAGGGCTGTGTGGGGGATGGAGATCCTCGGCCTCTCTGGGGGGCTTGCTCTGGGGATTTTGGAGCGGTGCTTGGGTTGTTTGTTTTGGGGGGGAGGGGAGCTGGTCTTAGGTTCTAAAAAGCTGAAGGGCTTTTCCTGGCGAGGTTCGAAAGGGAAATCCAAAAGAAAGCAATTCATTCTGTTGGGTCCGTTCTGTTTGGTAGGTGTTGAAAGAAGGAAAAGCGAGCGAAAGCCAAGCTTTGTCTTAGGGGTCGGCTCCTTTTGGTGTCCAAAAACATAGACCAGGGGAAGCCAACCAAAAGGGAAGTCATGGCAAACCAACAGGCAACCAACCCATGTGTCGTTGCGCCGTTAGGACGCCACCGTGATCTTGGTGCGCGGGCCCGGCTACGGCTTCTCAAAGAAGAAGGTGGCCTCGCAGAAGGCGGTGCGGCTCACCAACACCGGAAGGGGGGAAGCCTCAAATGGCGCGGCCACCGATCCATTTCTTTTGTTTTAAACATATGTCTTGTACATATGTGTATTTGTATACATATATACGAGTGCTTATATATCTATATCTGTATACAAATTGTTGTGTTTCTGTGTGCGTGTTTTTTTGTTGCAATGATCCAGTTGTTTAAGTTGGCGTTTGGATGGTTATGAACTGATGTATTCATACACTGGCGTGTGTTCAGTTGTTGCCTTGGTGACGTATGGCAAAAACCGCCAGCAACAGCCGCCACCCTGAACATCAATCCCCTCCCCAGGAAGCAGAAAAAACCGCCCTGGTTTGAAGCATCCTCCTTACAGGAACCCTTTTGTCTCGCTTCTTTCGTGTTGCTGGATTGGAGGGTACCATGGGTCCTGGCCGTTGTGTGTACTTGTGCTGTGCTGTTGCACCTCAAATGGCTCGGGGCCTGAACTTGCATTCAACTGAATTCGCCGCTTGTGCCATGAAGGGTCTCACTAACACCGCCCCAGTAAACCAACACGAGAATCGAGCACTTGGATCCCACGTTGAGGGCAACAGTGTGAAGGAGCACATCTCACACACGCGGGCCGGGGGGGGGGGGGGGTTGGGGTGCCAACTGAAGTTTTGCCAGCCAGTGTCGGTGTTCCAGGTGTCATTATTTTGAGGGTTTCTGGGGGTTATCAAAGTCAGAAATTTGGTTTGTTTTCCTTTAACCCACCGCTTGGCTGACTCTGACCATGGTAAACGAATGCCAGTTTTCTTCTCCGCCCAGAACTCGCCCCAATGAACTGGGCCCAAGCGGTCCGCCCAAATTCGCCCAGGTATGCTTTACAGCAGGTGCTTTTCCTCAGCCCAGCGGACGGCGCCTGGGCGTTAAATCGGGGGACCCCCGTGGTGCCTTTTTTTCTTTGGTTGAAGAAGGGTTTCTTTTTGAACAGATGAGGGCATAGGGGTTGGTGCCTCTCTGTTGTGCCCTGTTAGCCTTCACCCCCCCCCCCAGTCTTCCACACTTGTTGGAAAGAGGGAGGGATGCTGTGACGCACAGAATTCCACCCGCATGCATATTTGTTCCAGGCGCTAAATAGCTCATATTCTTTTCCTTGGGCCCAAAAGGAAGCCCAAAGGGGGGGGGGGCAAATTCAAATTAACTACTAGTTTGCTTTTGCTTTTTCCTTCTGGAACCCCCCCCTCTCCCATTGAGCATCCATGTTCCCCCCCCCCCGCTTGAGCACCCATGGGGCATCCACGACGCCCCTTTCACCGAGGGAAGTACTGCCACGTGGCCAGCGGCCTGGAGCTGTTCTCAACGGACTCCGAGCAGCCCGGCATTCCGAGGCCCTCGGTTCGGGCCTCACAGAGCTGGACCCGCAAGCAAAGAAGCGTTGAGTTTCTGGGCTTTGGCCACTTTTGGGTTTAGACCGTTGTGGTAAAGAAGAAGCTCGGACCCTTGTTTCATTGCAAGTTCACCCCGCAATTGACTTGGCCGGAAGATTAGCAGGGCCTGAAGGGACCTTTGCCCCTTTTTACTCGTTTTTAAGTGGGGGGGAACCCCTTAAACTCAGCAACCCAAGCAAAGGTGCCTGGATGTGTCCCTTCCGAAGCCAATGATTTTGGATTGTGAAACAATTTGGACATGCTCCTTTGCAACTAGGTCTTTGATCGAGCCGAACGCTTGTTTCATGTTTCGCGTTGCAGACTCAGGTTCCCAGCCTTGATTGTCAACGTCCAAATGCCCGATGGGCCTCCGAACATGATGGCAGACGCCCGGGCCAAGTGCAACTCCATGGTCTTTTGCTTCAAGGTCGCCGAGGAGTTTGGTTGCGCAAAAAACTTGCTGGTGCTCAGTGGGGAATGAGTTGGAATGACCCCTATAAAACCATCCCCTGTGGTTTTCCTTAAGGGGATTCCTGGGTTCGTTCCCGCGTGCCGTATTGAGCACCAGCAAGAAAGTGTGTTTGAAGTCTTGAAATGAAAACCCCCGTAGGGCCCCTTTAAAAGGAAACTCGTAGGAGTTTGTGTTAAACGAGCGGATTTGTTTCTCATGCTTACACGGGGGTTGAATCGCGCGAGGACCCGAGCTGCCAGGACCCGGCGTTGCAGCTCTTGCGGCGATTCTGGCAGGACCCACAGGCCCTGAAAGGCAAACTGAGGCTCGCAAGCAGCTGGTGGGCTGAAGAGCGTGGTTCATTTGCAAGGACACAACCCTTCGACTCCCACTGACAAACATGGTGCACAGACCCCTTTTTTAATCAATAGACTTGCACCCGGAGAGATGGTGTTGACACTCCCTCCCCATCCCACGCAGAAGTTCAGCACGTTCCTTTAAACCAGGAGATCCTTCTTGAACTCTGTTTGCCAGTGTTGGCCCGTGTGTTCCAAACTGACGAGCAAATTGTGAACTCCCTAGTTGCTTGCCAAGAGATCATTTAAATCACTTGCTCACCCATGTCAAAATCCAACACTTATTAGTTGTTTACCCTCTTCTATATCACGCAGATCAAGCAACATGAACCCTGGACAACGCAAAAGGGAACCAGCCTTCAGAACAAGGCAAAAGCCATCAGAACAAGCAATGGACGATGCCCTTGTTGACTGAGTCCCTGACAGTGGTTGGTTACACCCTTTAGACCGCTATTCTACTCAGGTGAGAAAACAGGTCATGTCTTGACCCCAGTCTGGTCCGAAATGAGCCGCCCCAGTGTTCTTCTGCGTTTTGCTTCGAAACCAATCGAAACAGAGGATGCCAGTTGAATGGACCCAGTTACGTATGCGCCAAACAAGTTGGAACTCCCAAAACTGTGTTTTTTTCCCACTGGTTCAGTTTCAATTCCAATCTGAGAAGCGTAGCCCCAAACCTTGTTTGGTGCCCAGTAGGGAATGTCCTTCCGGGTGTTCGGAATGAATCCGCACGCGATTCAACCTTAAAACCCCATCGGGGCTGGTTTTGCTCGGGGTCATGAGCCATTTCCTCGGTCCCTGCCTATGGAACCTGCCAGAAAAACCGGGCGAGGGCCCCCGGCGCCAACATTTTTTTGACTCACCCAAAGTGCCCAGCCCAGGAAGGTGCTGTGCCAGCTGGGAGCCTCTGGCGCTTTGCCCGCGGCCCTGCAGAAAATCAACGGGAAGCTCAGATCAACCTGCGCCCAGATGGGGGGGAGGATTCCTGTACTTGTGGTTTCCTTTGGGTTTTCCGTAAAAAGCATTAAAACGCAACTTGCTTTGGATATTGGTTATCCCTTTGGTTTCCTTTCTGGTCCCCTTTGTTTTACTGCCACGGCCTGTTGAGTGCCATGGCTTTTTTCAAAGATGTGAATTTCGCTTCATTTCAGGCTCATTGGGGCAAGTAAGTGGTTCTTGCTGGTGCATGTTATTATTTTGCCGGGGAATGCACCCGATTTGTCTGAATGAATGTCCCACCGGACTGTCCAGCCACTAGCTCCAGGGTGATGGTTTGAGGGGGAACCCTTTAAGAAGAACAACGTATCAAACCTACTCACACAACCATTGAACCTACGACAAATCCTCCCCCCAGTCATATCGCACATTTACAGAGCATGTCCTCATGGATTCCGGAGGACCATACTGATCAGTGTTGGGTCTATTTGAGGGGTGTCCGTTCCGTTGATCGAGGAATTATTTTCAGGTTTTGGACATATAGGTCAAGAATAGGGTAACCCAAAAATGGCACCCTGGTAAATGGAAACATGGACTAAAACCAGTGGTCCATATCCTGGTGATTTAATTTTGACCCACACCCATATCGAATTTGCAGACACGGCCGAGTCTGCTGGAACCTCCTGCCAAGGAAACCTGCGCTCTTGGGCAAGGCGGCCTCGGTATACCGAGGGGACAGCTACGTGGAGGTGGACGTGGACACCAGCGCCTCGGTGCAACGAAGCCGGGGTCTCCTCCAATTTGATGAAGGGTAGACTCCTGACCTAAATGGAACAAAATCTGAATGCATTTAACAGATTGGGGCAAGGCTGGTCCAAAGTTGAAGCCTTCGTTGTTCAATTTCGACCTTTTCTTGCCCACCGCGCAGGGTAATCTTTCATCTCCTTTCTGGGCAGGTGACAAGCAACCCGTGTCAGAATCTTGAATGGGTTGCCTTCGGGGTAGCATGCCGGCCAGCCCTCTGGAGCGGAGTCCGTGACGAGAGGCATAGTTTTGCCCCGTTTCATAGACCTTTTTAGTGGGAGCTGCAGTCAACGGCGGAGTTTGCGCCAGGAGGCGCGTTTTTCCTTCTTCTTTTTTTTTTAATGGGGACAACATAAGCAGAGAATCTCCGTGGCATCTCCAGAAGCAACACCACATGAATCCATGGCAAATGTGTGGGAGCAGAGTGTTTGGCGTTTGTTGCGCGCCTGTCATTCATGAAATTGGACCAGGGGGTCTTTGGCCATAAGATGTGCAGATGTCAAGTTCGCAGCGACGTGGTGTGGTCAGACTATACACTGTGCCCTGGTCGTGCTGCTTGTCGTGCATGTGGGCATGCTTTGCGCAGCATGGCAATGCATTCATGCTACGCTGCTGACCCACAGGGTCACAGGCATGCACAGAGCAGGACCTGTGAATTGTCAAGGTTCCACGTAAATCCTGAGTTGATTTGCCGTGAGGCTCCTGCACCTATGTGCACCGCCTGTCTCTGCATCAGCTCCTTGATTTCATTTGGCGTTGGAATTTGAAGTGACCGGTACGGCCTGGTTGGTACCTTGCTGTTCGGCAATTTGCTGCTGGGAATTGTCTCCCTCCCCTCCCTCCAGATGTCACTGCAGCCGACCTTTGGGCTCTCCATGCGAGGTTCAGTCAGAAGATATCCAGACGGTCCAGTGAAACATGGCTGTTTTGTCAAACGTTCTCAGGGCCCGTGTTTTGTTTTGCCATGTCCAACGCCCAAAAATGCCAGCCTTTTGGGACGCCTACGCCCCCTCAAGGCCTTTCTGGAGGATCAGACATGTCAGGTTAAGGCCATTCCAAGGTTTTCCGATTTTCCAACATGCGAGGTGTTATGTTTGGTGTGGAAATGTACTGACCCCGAAACGTTGCACCGAAGCCTGGTTCCCCGTGAAGGATAGCCTCCAAGTCTGCCCTGCCTGTCAAGCTGGAACCGGGGTCGAAGTTTGAATTCGACCTCGAGCACTCCATGTCTCACAGAACCCGCACCATTTTGACATTGGCGACCCAGGTCAAATTGGTGGTTCCCGGCCATCCGCTGAGCTTTTTAGATTTTCTCGCGTTAAGTGTTTGGTTGAATTCGCTGGCGCCAGGCTCATCGCCACCTAGATAGCCCAGTTGCGATCGCTTGTTGCAGTCACCGTTGCCGGATGTTGGGGGTAAAGTGGCTGGAAAAGGCGATCGCATCTGGCGATCCAGGCAGTTCTTTTATCTTTGGTGCTTTTGCTTGGATGTTAGGACTTTAACTTTGTGCCAACGAATGCTTTTGCCACAAAACCACCAAAAGTGAAGCTTTCAGCAGGGGGAGCAGAGTTCGCAACCGTTGTTTTTTTTCCGCTGGCGCGAGGCTCATGGGGCGCCTGGACTCCTTGCACCTCCACTTCGCTCTGCTGCTGCAGGGGGACTCCGAGGAAGAGCTCCCGGAGCGCATCCTGGCGGCCGCCGCCCTGCGCCGGGTGGACCTGCGCACGGGCGCCGAAAAAAAAGACAGGGACGGCGGTCTGGGGCGGAAGGCTAAGGGGGGCACGGCCATTGGGGAACCAATTTTTCTGGCCAATCCTCAGGGTTTTTCAAAGTGGATCCAATGGAAATCGGCCGAAGAAGATGGGGAGCGAAAAGATTGGGAAGAGTCTTCGTGCGGGATATGCCGTTGATTTTTTTGAGGCGTTGCCCCAACTAGGAGTTTGCAAGCATACTATCCTTGTAGGCCTATAACATGCAAAAATGGGCTTCACAGTTTGGGCCTTGGGCTTTCGCGAGACTGACAAGGTCAGCGAAGGTCGGCATCCTGCAAACTAGGGCCCCCAGCAATTGGTGCCCGTCTCTACCGTCTCTTTTTTGGTTGGGAGATTCGGTTCCCCTACTAAAGTAGACTACAGGGAAAAGAACGGTAGCCTTATGCTAACCTCTCAAATCTGGAGGACCTAGTCAAACCAGGGGGTTGCTAATTTGGGTTTCTGGTTTTGGGGCACCGCCCTATCCGCCAGGTCTGCTTGAGCCTGGGAGACGCAGCGCAGCAGATTGCGCCTTGGAATGGTTGGTTTGCAAAGCGCATTTCTGCTACACGTATGCCCCCCCATACCGGAAACGTAAACTAAGAACGCATAGTTTGACAGAGAGCAAAGCGGAAATGTGCATGTCCCACGCAACTGGGGACTGGCATTGGCATGCCGCATGCCGTCAGCAATTTCTGATTTGTCAGGGTGGAACAGTACTCTGGGCCGTTTTAGTGGATGAGACACACAGACTGGTCCTTTCGGGGGAAGTTTCAGGTTTCCAACCTCCAAAAACTGTGTTGACCTTCTTACCTCGTGCTTCAACTCAAAAACAGTTTGGGTCAACAAGACCATATTGGTACAACCACCCCTGTATTGCTCTCAGTCTCTTTGGTTGCGCCGCCAAAACTGAGCCCCAGTGTAGCTGATGGATGCTCAGGCGCGCGCCGCTGAGCCCAGGTGCCTTGGTGCAGGAAATCCGCCCGTATTTGTGTCACTGTTCGTTGGTGGTCGTTTGTGTGTGTGTGTGTGCGTTTTTTTTTTTGTTTTTGGGGAGATCTCCATGTTGGTACTTTACAATCGTTGTAGGGGTCTCCCTGTCTTAGACAACCCACATTTCGGGGAGTGTACATCGCTTGCGGCGTAACACCCTGCATCCTGATTCGAGCTTCTCTTGAGGACTTGTTGAATGCAGGCCAGGTCTCATCACGTATGTGCCACACATCTGCCCATATGGCGAGGTCCTCTCGGGCCCTTCTCGGGTCCTCCTTTGATCCTCAATTCCAATGCGCTATTAGTCCGACACCCCGTTTTGGTTTTACAACATTATTAGAAGGGGGAGGCGGGGGGCAGGGGGGGAGCCATCCAAGCGTTCCCCCCAGGGAAGGCGAGCTCACAACTAGGTAGGACCTTTTCTCGGGGATCTAGAAAATTGTGGCTTTAAAAGGACAAGGAAACCACCCATTTGTTGGGGTTGTCCCATTTTAAAACATACTGTAGAGTTTGCAGATGCAAAGGGAGGACAATCATCAGCGGCGCGCCTCCGCCAACAATGGCCCCCTGACCAGACTGCCTACCTAGAGGGGTAAATGTACTTGTTTTTGGTTCCCTTGTTTTTGTTGGTTCCTTCATTTTGTGGTTGAACCAATTATTTTGGGGTCAGAAGCTCATCTTTACAGTAACGGCTCTGCATGAACTGAATCAAACGACCACCGGCATTTTGTTTGAGTTTGTCTGCGATGCGGCTCCAACAAAGACCTCTAAGCTGCTGTGTAGTGAAAACTCGGTGTTAAATCTTCCTGACTGAGAATAGATGCCAGGAAGATCACACACCTTCTAAAGGGCATCCTCGCTCTTTGCGTTTTTGATGTCAATGGGCTTCGGCTGCCTGCTGTTCAACTACACTCTTTATGACGGGTTGGATACTTGTCAGCCTGATTCAACGGGCAGGAAAGTTTGTTAACAAAGTATGACTTGAATGTGACAATGTGGCCCACTTCCACCCGTCCATCACGCCGCCATGTGGCGTTGCATTCAATCGTGCTCACAAGCACACCTCTGAAAAGGCACCTTCCCTTGCCAAAGGATGCAACTGCATTGGCCAATGGATCAGCTAACATGAGCAGGTGTTTCAAACGCTTTTGGCGTGTGTGTGTGTGCGCAAGGTGCGTGTCCCAAACCGTGACCCGTGTTTTCCAACGAGCCCATTCTTCGTGCACACACACACACACGCACGGGCTGTCTGAAGCGCGCACGGTTACATGGCAACCGGCCGCAACTTACCGGTTTGCCAAACAAAGCAGAAACTTGACCATGGGACCGGTGAGAAGCTCAATCACTCAGAGGACAACCGCCCTTAGATAGCTTAGGCTTACGTGCGAACAGCGCAAGCCACGGGAGCAAGCAAGCCCAACACATGACACCCACGCCGGATCGAGACATACTATGCGGCGGCATCACCTCACCACCCGTTCTTGGTTTACCACAGGCTTCCCCAGGCAGCAAAATGTGGTTAACAGCTACTTGCCACAGGCAAAGGTCGCGCAAGATTGCGCCGGGCAACCAAAAAAAGGCGCCGGGCAACCAGTTTTTCGCAATCTTGCGCAAGCGGCTGAAACCGTACCGAAATGTCTCTCCCAAGGTTCTTTGGACAATACATTGCGATAGGTTGTGCATCAAGCCAGCAGAGGAAAGCGTGTCCCAAATATGACTTTTGGACAAACCCAGATGTAAAAAAATACACTATTTGTCAAGCAACAACTTTTGCTTTGCTGTTTGTTTTTTGGAGTGAGTCTCCATACCTTCGCACTATGGAAAACCTTGTGCCAAACGCGACCTTTGCCTGTGGAAAGTAGCGGTTGCACACATTTTTGTGCTTGGGAAGCGCGTGGAAGGGTGCGGCAAAGAGTGGCCACACAACATCATGCCTTAATGAGGCAACTATAGGCATTGGATCTGTGCTCTGTTAGCTCGCCCAGCCACCGGTTCTTGCATATAACACACTGCGTGTTTGTGCATACTGCTCGAGCAAAGCTCATGCACCAACATGCTTGCTTAATCCAATGTGCATTTCAAATGTTGCTTCCTTACAAGTACGGTCAATGTACGCCCGCTTGGGTGACCAGCCCATTTCACCCACAATGTCTTCTACAGCAGGCAATTTGCCATGTGATTCCAAACACGTTTCAAGCGCCTCTTTTCTCATCACAAACGGATGTGCATTGTTGGTTTGCTGCTTCTCATTTTTGTTTTATCCACAT